TGTGTAAAAGCTTTAATGCAGCATGTGGGGACACCATTACCAACAATGATGAGGGGAGGAGGCAAATTCAATATTCCCTCTAAGTGATTCCATTTAGGAGTAAAATGCCATGATGGAATCTGGCGCTCATTTCAGTGCCACAGTAACACTACACCTAGAATGAGAATTATTTGCATTAAATGCATCTTACAGTAGAATATATCTTAAAGTGACAATAAACCCTCAGATTTTTTAACATAAACCAATACTGTAATGTGTGCCTTACTGTAATCCATGGTTGCTTCCCTTCTCTTTGATGCTCTTCCTTTTAAATCTGTCTCTCTTCTCATGCTGGGCAGAACTTCTGTTTTGCAGCAGACTGCCTTGTCTCAGGAATGGATACATGATGTCTGTGTGTAGGTTCACAACCTGAGCCAGCACTACAGGAAGAGGCACTCAGCTGCAAAGGGAAGTTCTCCCCCAGCATGAGAACAGATACAGATTTAAAAGGAAGAGCAGCAAAGAGAAGGGAAACAACCATGGATTACAGTAAGGTACAAATTACAGTATTGTTTTATGTTGAAAAATCTGAGGGTTTAATGTCACTTTAAGCATAAAATGCTCCCAGCCAGAGATTGTGTAGGTGCCACAGACAGTGAATGTGTCCTTTCACATGTCTGGGGTCTAAGCCTGTTAAGAGAATGGACTTGCACCAGAGATGAAGTTTTGCATCACAGAGTGGATTTTTATAAATTTTTGGATTAATAATATCTGAAACTGTGATTTTCAAAGATAAAAGACTTATGAAATAAAGACAATTTCTGGAATCTGCTGATGAGGGAACTTCCATAAAAAGTTAAAGGATAAGGAAATGTAAGAACATAAATGTAATATATTGCCGTTTACTTAGATATGGTGACTGCATTTGTTTTCTATTATTTCAGGCTAAGAACAGTTTTAGCAAGTACAGAAAAAAACAATCAATCTTGTCAGAAATGCTGTGTCCGTGTCACCTCCTTTGTGATGAAACAAAAGTAAATGTAATGGAGGTGAACAAAGGAAGACATGTTTGAAGTTCAGTCTGGATAACAGCCATGGCTTCTTATATTGAAGCAGTCAGCGTAGCCACCCAAGGACAGGATGTGTGTTATTCACTGAATTACCTGCTGGAAATAAAGGGAGCAAAGCCTGCAAAAGAAACCTAATTCAGACACATCATCAAAGGACTGGTAAACTGCAATATATTATGTTTTTTTATGGATTTAGATATACTTGCATTTTTAAAATTAAAACCTTCTATATTGCTAGAACTTTGTGAAAATTATGTGCGTCATAGACAACCCTCTTAATACATATGGTGCAGCACAAATCTACTAGCACACAGACAAAAAATATTTTTCCAGGCTGGGCAGCACGCGGTGAAAACTGGATATTATAGAAATGTTCCTCTCATCAGGCGGAATAATTGCCTATAAATATAGGCTTTTAGGGTTTGCAGAATTTACTTGTACGGTTGGCTTGGTGAAGTGAAGAGACTCCACTGCTACAGGCCAGCCAGTTTGCCAATCCATTGTATGTGTATAACATCACTGAATAATGACAGTGACTTTTCTGGATAAGGTGATATAGGGACTCCAGATTCTCCCAGTGATTAGGATGAATCCTTATTATGCCTGTGTTTTGTATCTGTGATGCTTTTAAAGAATAAAAAGGATGTAGCATGTTATAGCATTATCCTTAATAGTACAAAATATAATCTGCTGAGGGTGTTTACAAATATGATAGAACATTTACATTTAGGGAAATGAGAGCTGACTATACACAAACAGCTGTCATCTCTATCAGGATGGCCGCTCTCCCATGGCAAGCACAAGCAAGGATGACTTCTGTCCCCAGCTTGATCAATTCTTCTGTATAGATTCTACATTCAGATGAGAAGGGTTTTCCAGAATGTCTTATCACTTCATGTTTGTGAAGATCATTATTTGATCTCTACTTTGCACACTACATAGCAATAGCCTCATTGTTTGGTATGACAAATTATTAATCATGTTATAATTCTTCTTTTAGAGACTGACATAGCCATCACATACCACCTGCCATTCACCTTTCTCTGACCATCCTTTATTGGTCATCAGATGCCGTGCCTCCCATTTTCAGAGCTGGCCATCATTTTAATTACAGGCAGTCCCCGGGTCACATACATCCGACTTACATACAACATACGACTCCAACTTACTGTACTGTTCCAGAGTCTGCTCAGGCAAAGAAGGAAACACAGGTGAGTAAAATGGCAGCCAAGCCAGAATGCTGCACACCAGTAAAGTCAGGGTGGACTGTACAACAGGGGTAGTTTTAATGCTACCTCGCTCGTGCTGATGAAGAGTGCCCGCCTTTTTGGGTCTGGTTTGTAGTACTGTACGTACATTACAGGAAGTTGGCTCTTGTTAGACATGCAGACGAGGGGTGCCTGCCTCTTCTTCCGGGTCACTGCAAGGTTTTTACTGCTGTCTGTATCCTCATTAGAAATATTTAATCTCACTTCCTGTCCTTGAGACAACAGGAAGTTAAAGGAAATCTACAACTAGGAAGGGAAATTCACTTCTGTAAGAGTGGTCATGGGAAAAAGGTGTCTCCACTGAAGCTTCATCACCAATCCTTGTTTCCAGGACAACCCAAAATTTTCAAAATCCAATTGTCACAGGGACAGAAAGTGAGGTGGAATCTTCTGAACAGGGGCACACACAGCAAAACAAACTTTACAGGGGGTAAACCCTTCCCTATGCTATCCAAAACTAAAACAAAAAACAAAAAAAATGTGTCTGGAGTTACACTTGCATACAAATTCAACTTAAGAACAAACCTACATTCCCTATCTTGTTCGTAACCCAGGGACTGCCTGTACACCTCTGTCCAGTCATCATACTGATAATTTATATATCATGTGTAAAAAACACACCCTGGTTGGACAGATATCTGGAGCCTAGACACTCAGACACATAATACAAAACATTAGATTGCATTATAAATACATATACAGTGACCCCCAAATAAAGTTCTGTTAGAGTACTTGGCCCCTGCAGGATCCTGGTGCCAGAGTTACCCTTTATACTTCTCATTGTTTTTCCCTTGTACCCTGGCATATCGCCGAACATGTCACAGATGTGCTGCAGACTTGGGATTCAGACAATGTTTGCAACTTTGTGCTGCTGTGTGGGTGTTTTTTTCCTAGCAGTTCTGTCTGATCCTTCTGTCCAATATAAAACTATTTCATCATGCCTCCCTTTATACACCACCCCCACCAGATTATAAAGACCCTCTGTGCAGTCTGCATCATGTCCCAACCAGATCTACCTCTACATTCATGTCATGAATATTTAGAGTTTATGGTGCTGAGGGGGATAAAGGCAGTACAACTGACAGGGCAGATTCTGACGACACACAGTAAAGGGGACATTCTGCAGATGATAAACTGGGGGAACAAAATAGAGGTGACATTCGTCAGGTTGGGGGCAGACAGTAGATAGTAGATTCTACTAGTGATACTCTCTGAGCATGCAGTGGAGGGGACATTCTGCAGGTGATATTCTGGGGGCACATAGTCAGGAGAACAATCTGCAGGTTATAATCTAGGGGACCCTTCTGAAGGTGATGCTCTGAGGCACATAATGGAGAGGACATTATACAGGTGATGTTGTGAGGGCACATAATCAAGAGGACAATCTGCAGGTTATAATCTAGGGGACTCTTCTGAAGGTGATGCTCTGGGGTGACACAGTGGAAGGGACAATCTGCATACAGTGGAGAAGATATTCTGATGGTGATAATTTGGAAGAACACAATGGAGGGGGCATTCTGCGGATGATACTCCCGGGGATGGGGTGGAGGGGACATTCTACTGTTGATATTCTGTGGAAACACAGTGGAGAGGACATTCTGATTGTAATATTATGTCTGCACATAATGGAGGAGAAATTCTACAGGTAATAATCTGGGGGCACACAGTGGAGGAGACATTCCACTGGTGATAATCTAGGGGCACACAGAGGAGGGGACATTCTGCCATTGATATTCTGAGAGAACACTGTTCAGGGGATGTTTTTCAGGTGATAATCTGGGGGCACGCAGTTGAGGAGATAATCTTCTGGTCATAATATGGTGGCACACAGCGGGGTAAATATTCTGTAGGTGATACTCTGGAAGAACAAAGTGGAGGGAATATTCTACAGGTGATGTTCTAAAAACCCAGTAAAGGGGACAATCTGCCATTAGTACTTTGGGGCAGCCAGTGGAGGGGACATTCTTCCATTGATCTTCTGGGGACAGACAGTGGATGGACATTCTGAAGGTGATATTCTGGGAGGACAAAGTTGATGGGACATTTTGTTGGTAGTATTTAGAGGCCAAATTGTGGAGGGGACTTTCTGCTTAAAATATTCTGAGCCAACATTCTGCCATTGATATTTTGTGGTCACACCATGGAGGTGAAACTACAGGTTTCCAGGCTGGGCAACCCTAGTGAAGCATCCGTACTGTAGGTGATTCTCTGGGGGCACACAGTGGAGGGCAGATTCTGCTGGTAAAACCCTGGGGGCACACAGTGAAGAGAACATTCTGCTGGTAATATTCTGGGGATACGTAGTGGATGGGACATTCTGCAGGTTATATAACGGGGGCACATAGTGGAGGGGACATTCTGCAGGTAATATTCTGGGGGCGCACAGTGAAGAGGACATTCTGCAGGTGATATTCTGGGGGCACATAGTCAAGAAGAAAATCTGCCTGCTATAATCTAGGGGACCCTTCTGAAGGTGGTGCTCTTCGGTGACACAGTGGAAAGGACAATCTGCAGGTTATAATCTGGGGGACCTTAGTGAAGCATACATACTGTAAGTGATACTCTCGGGGCACACAATGGAGGGCACATTCTGCAATGATATTCTGGGGGTACACGATTGGGGGGGCATTCTGCCACTGAAATTATTTTGGAGCATAGAATGGAAGCACATGCTGTGACTTACCTTTGAATCTCAAAACTGCAGCCCTTCCTCAGTAGGGCTGCTCTCTTCTTCATAATCAAGGGTTTGCCTTTGCCTATGTAGTTATCCACCTGGCAATCCATTCTCCCCCTTGGGTGAGGAAAGAACCCTGAGATGAGTGGGGTGTCCTAGGCTGTAGGAGATCACTGAAGTGCTTGATTCAGATCTGATTAGAGGCGGTTGACATCCTCAATCCTGTGCGATCCCAAGTCTTGTTCAGTTCAGCTGCTTGTCCTGCAGGAGGAGGAGGAGGCACTGTGTGTGTATGTGTGTGCAGTGCCCCCCTCCTTCCCATTCACACACAATAGATCTTTCCACTTATTCCCTCCTCCGCTGATGTGCCCTCTGCATCATAAACTCTGCACCATGTACTCTGCCCCCTGTGCAATTCACTCTGCCCTTTCAACCATACACTCTGCCCCTGGATTGTATACTCTGTCCTTTAAACTAGTCATACACCTTACAATTATCTGCAGATTTTCTGTGTTCAGATGGAAAAGGTGCAACAGATTCCTCCATTTACACTTAACTGTGTGGATGGAGCAATATCCACCTGGGCCAATCTGTTGCACTTTTTCCATCTGATCACAGAAAATCTGCAGATAATTGTAAGGTGTATGGGCACCTTTACACCATATACTTTTCACCATGCACTCTGCTCCCGTGTCATACACTCTGATCCTTACATTGTAAACTCTGCACCATGCACACTGCCCCTTACACTGTACACTTTGCACTCTACACCATGCACTCTGCCCCTTACACTGTACACTCTACACCATGCACTGTGCCCCTTACACCATGCACTCTGCCCCTTACACTGTACACTCTACACCATGCACTCTGCCCCTTACACTTTACACTGTACACCATGCACTCTGCCCCTTACACTTTACACTGTACACCATGCACTCTGCCCCTTACACTGAACACTCTGCACTATGCCCCTTGCACTCTGCCCTTTACACTGTACACTCTACTCCATGCACTCTGCCCCTTATACTGTACACTCTGCACTCTACACCATGCACACTGCCCCTTACACTGTACACTCTGCACTCTACACCATGCACACTGCCCCTTACACTGAACACTCTGTACCATGCACTCTGCCCCTTACACTGTACACTTTGCACCATGCACTCTGCCCCTTACACTGAACACTCTGCACCATACACTCTGCCCCTTACACTGAACACACTGCACCATGCACTCTGCCCCTTACACTGAACACTCTGCACCATGCACTCTGCCCTTTACACTGAACACACTGCACCATGCACTCTGCCCCTTACATTGAACACTCTGCACCATGCACTCTGCCCCTTACACTGTACACTCTCCACTCTACACCATGTACACTGCCCCTTACACTGAACACTCTGTACCATGCACTCTACCCCTTACACTGAACACTCTGCACCATGCACTCTGCCCCTTACACTGAACATTCTGTACCATGCACTCTACCCCTTACACTGAACACTCTGCACCATGCACTCTGCCCCTTACACTGAACACTCTGCACCATGCACTCTGCCCCTTACACTGTACACTCTACACCATGCACTCCGCCCCTTACACTTTACACTGTACACCATACACTCTGCCCCTTACACTGTACACTCTATACAATGCATTCTGCCCCTTACACTGTACACTCTCTAAAGTGCATTCTGTCCCTTACACTGTACACTCTACACCATGCATTCCGCCCCTTACACTGTACACTCTCTAAAGTGCATTCTGTCCCTTGCACTGTACACTCTACACCATGTACTCTGTCCCTTACACTGTACACTCTACTGCATACACTCTGCCCCTTACACTCTACACCCACACACGCACAGACTATACACTTTCCAACATGCACTATACACTCTGCCCCTTACATCATGCACTCTGCCCTATGTACCACATAATCTTTCCCCTGAAGTATATATTCTACTCCATACATTGTACACTACAACAGAAGTTATGCTTAAAGTGCCAGACCACCTATAATTTAATTTTTTAGCTAAAATGGATTCTTGTAGGGTTTTAAATTCTAACTACATTTGGGCACATGGTTTGGGGACCATAGAGTCTCAGTTTTGTTGCTGCATCAGGGGTGTTTCCAGTCTTCTTGTTCAGTTTTTCATAATATAATATAAAACTCCAGCAGGGATTATGGGCTCACCTAGTATTCCCTCGGCCTGGAAACTCTTCTTACCACAGTAAATATAGGAAACAATTAAGTGGTTTACACCTTCAGTATTCACCAAATGCTGGTGAAAATATCCCTTTGATCTGAGTATTTATTAAAGTTGAGCTTTTTTCTCTTTTTAAAAAAAATATTTTATTGACATTATGTGCATTAAGTGCATTTTAGATCTTTAAAAAATATGACATAGCATGGCAGAAATGTCAGACCTGACAAACACTGTGAAACAGTCTAATAAATGGGTTGGCAGCAGATGCAAGGCATTAAAGAGAACTTGTCTGGAAAGTTGTTTCTTGTCAGAGGCGAGTCTCCCATCTAGTGCTGGAGTATGCCAAAAAGTGGTGCTATTTCTGAGGTAGAGCTCTCTTCTGCATTATCACACCCATTACTGGCACTTCTTCATGTCGGCCATCAGCGATAAATGAGACATATTAAAGCTATTTTAACAGGTTCCCGATTTAGAATTATCTTGGGATTAAAATATACAGTATTTCTAGGAAATATCAGCATTTCCAAGGTGCTGTTTGAAGCTGAACTCCCAGGACAAAAAAAAGCTACTCCTTTTGCCTAGGGGTTGATGAATAAGGTGATATAATAACCTTATTACTAACTCCCGCAAGCTTCCTCCTCTCCACACAATCGGTCCCCTGAAGCCACATCCCTTTGCTGTCTGACTGCTCACTGCTCTCTAACATCATCACATACAATGCAGTTCTTCAGCAGTCCTTCATTGTACCTGAAGACCCGCCTACAAACCAGGATGTTGGACAACGGAGGAGAGCTCCATCTGCTGGGGGAGCAAGGCATTAAGTATGTATATCACCTCATTTATCATCCTCTGGGCAAAACAAGCAGTTACCTCTTGCAGTACAGAGGGGACCCACTGTGAGAGTAACGTTTCTTCTTCTTTAGAGTTCAGATTTAGAAGAAATCATTTTAGGAGATTCAGAATTGTGTCAACAAAATGAACAAGAGTAATCATGTGGCAGCTATTGCTTTCCTGCTTGTTCCGTTGTGTTTGGCTCTACTCCGCCTCTCATGGCTCTGATGCAGCGGATAATTGTCAGCGAGCTGTAATTAGCGGAAGGTGGCCAGTGATTAGAAATCAGAATTTTCTGCTGTGGAAGAAGAATTCACGCAGTAAAGTATATTTTTCCTGCGTCAGTCGCTGTGATGAATCTGACAGTGCACAGCAGACATATGAGCCAGGAAAAATGCCCAGAATGGAGAGATACCTTGTTATTGCCAGGCCTGAGGCCGCTGAGTGCTAGTTCACTGTTCTCAACCAACAAATCCATTGTCCTTACATTCGGGCAGAGTGACGCGGAAATTGTTCAGTTAATGAAAGCCACGCATGAAGTCTTCACCCCACTTTTACACCCATGGTCAGACAGTTCTGTCCCAGCAAAAGGTCCCTTTCTGATTAGTTGCTTGAGGCTGTCATAGACAGTGTCTGAACCCTCGAGCAAAATACTCTCTCTCTCTCCCTCTCTTTTTCAACCTATAGCATGAATACCAGTCTGTAACACTATGCACATGACTCTATCTAGCAATTACCTATAATGCCGTTTTTGTAAATTTGCAACTGGGTTCTGGCAAGTTGGAAGTGGCCAAAGGCTACTCTTGTGACTCATGAAACACAAAATTAACACAGGCATGGTCACTGGAGGGGAGCTCCTTCCCCAAGGACAGCCTCCACAGTCCATAGGAAGGCATTCTTTGTACAGGAGCTTCAGGGATCTCTTGTCCCAATAAACTCAGACAGAGCCCATTAACTTATACTTCAGCACTCATTTTAACTTTTCCTAGGATCGAGTGGACCCCAGGCATACCAGGTCTCACTGCACAAACAGAAAACATGATGCAGTTGTTAAGCATCTCACTTTTCTTCTACTTCCCATCGCACAACACAAAAATGTCCAGTCAGGTTCTGTTAAAATAACTCAAACTTTACTCCAGCAGAGGTATCAAACAAACACATTTGTAAGAAACAGCAAGTAATCATTATCTTCTCCAACAAAGTGGTAACATAATCCATTCTTGATGGCAATTTTCTTTCCAGTATCCTGGAGTTCAATCACTTTTTATCTCATTCCCATAATACTTAATTCTTCCTGATTCTCCTGTTCCCAAAAGTATTTCCTCCCAAATGGGTACTTACAATCCATGACACAGCATGATAGGGGATACCCAACCACATACTCTATGGACTGCACTTCACTGATTAACTCCACCCACTTGTCCTTTTATAACCTTTCACGAGGGACTCTAAGTGACAGGTGTGTTGTCTGGTTCCCAAAAGGGACCTTACCTTATGGGGACTACCTCCTTCTACAAGGTAGAGACACTGAGCATGAGGAACCTTCAGCTCAGGTGCTGCTACTGATTATAGTAATCAAAAGTGGGCATTACCAGAGAATATTAAAGTCCATTTTCTATATGGAATCCTGATTTAATTGTTGGTTCATCTTACAGTACAGTTATGAGCAACTGACATATACTAGTGTCTATAATACAAATAATGGAAATGTTACCTATGGTGTCTCTTTTCCATAAGGGTAATTTGTAATTTAGGACCTTTTCCAAAATCTGCACTCTTCCTTCCCCAGAGCAGGTCTGAACACATTATTCACAAAGCATATTTGATTTTCCTCCTGTGGAACAGCTGCAGACCAGCTCCGAGAATACATCGGGACTCATTCTTGCACTATAGTATTTTTTATTAAATAAAATGATTCCTCTAACATCCACCAATAACTTAATCTTCAGTGAGAATCAAATCAGTGTGCCATATGGGACCGGCTGGGCCTGGAGGCTCAGACACCCACATAGTAAACACTTAAAATAAAACATGTTTTATTACTGGAGTTTATCACAATGGGGATTCAGTTTAAAGAGGGCATTCTGCATGGCATCTTATTTTAGATATTTATCAAATCCTTTAAAGGCAACAAAGGTAAACATGGTACAGTAATTGTTTAATAACTGCCATCGAGACAAAGCCTGTCCTATTTACTGGCTTAGTT